TTTAAATAACTCTCAACCTATAAACTTATTGTGCAAAACTGTATAGATTGTTTATTTCAAATAAAAATAATAATAAAAAAAAAAAAATATATAAATTTAAAAATTAAAAGTTAAAATACTTTACGACCACGTGTTCCTCGTAATTATTACATCCAAACTTTTCGTTGCATTTAAATACACATATAAATAAAAAAAAAGAGATGGGGGCCTAGGCAGCGATTGCTGCTTAGCTGCCTTGGCCAGGCCGACACTGGACAAGAACTATCGTTTTGGGAGAAAAACCGCTATGGAAAGTGGCAAGATTGTTGGAAGCACCTTATAGAAGCTACTGGATACTACTTTGAAGGCGATTTATTCAAATGTTGATTGTTATTAGATAAAATGCATGGAACATATTGTCGACAAACCGTTCAGATATATTTATTTAATTTACAGTATAATAAGATTTACAAAACCTATGGTACTCGTGGGAAAAAATTATTTTAGTATGTTCACGTCATTATGACATCAGAATGTAAAAGAATTTCAATTTTAATGAATTATGTTGGTTCGTTGTTTACACGTTTACGTCAATAGTTTAAGGAAGAGTCGAGGATCATTTGAATATTGCATTTTATGTAAAATATACCAACTGTTCACATATTCGTGAATTTGCGATGTAAACAGTTGGTCATGTTTTACATAAAATGCAATATTCAAATGTTCTTTGTGGTTAGATTTTTATTGGCGCATAAATGTATTATGTTTACGTATGTGTGTCGGATTTTTCGTAGCACTATGTTTAATGTTGAAAATAAATGTACGTAACTCAATGCAACGTCAACGCAGTTGCAGCATATCGAAGTTCGTTTTGTCGTCCGACGTCTCGGGATGATGATGGGTACTCAAGACTATAGGTCGACTGTAGTATGACTGTAGGTCTGCAACCAGGGTCGGTGAGAACTTTTGAGGGCCCGGTTAGGATTAGGGTCTGATTGGTTCAGGATACCCTTTACATTTGTTTGGCCAAGATATACATACTATTTGGTACACACATGTATATACATTAGTGGAATAAAAATATTCAAACTTGCATCATATGCTTCGGCAAATTAGATTATAACATAATTTTGTATAAACGACTGAGAGGATGGTAGGGACGGAAATATGGGAGGGCCGAGGGACCTTGGCTCTCCTACGCATTCTAAGAATGATGATGAATATAGTACTTACACGTTAAAAATACTGAGATCAATAGCAATAGATGCACTAAATAAATTCAATGAACATATATTTCCCAAAATATTTAAGCTTCTCACCATACTTTGTATGTTACCACTAAGTGTAACAACAGATGAGAGAAGTTTCTCCACTTTAAAGCGGGTAAAAATTTGGTTTTGTTTAAAGAGTCAAGAACACCGTCTTACCTCATTATGTTTATTAAATATTCATCGAGACAAGGAATTAAATGTTAGCTTAATAATTGACCGCTTTAATAAAAAATGTACTAATAGACATATTGATTTTGTTACATATTTAATATCGGCTTGTTACTTTATTTATAAACAAATGTATGATGGTTTTTGTTGATTACTATTATTATTAAATAAAGGACATGTTATAATACAATGTGTCATATATATTAATATATATATTATTATGTATATACATGATTTATTGTAGCAAGTTTTCAACTGCTTTTCAGACTTTTGCAGATTCAGCTGTCTGCGGTAACTTCATCTTTCACGCAAACTACTTATTTATTCATCATAAATCGTATTTTCCTTCAATGGCGTTCACTGTTACTCGTCTCTTATTTTCGTGTCGTCGTGTAGCTTAGCAGGTAACTCGGATTCTAATCGAAGTCTATACCTCTCTCGTCCGTTACTGTAAAAATCTTTAATGCGTATGCATCGATACAAAAGTGATTATCCAACAAATGTGTTATGAAAACGACAAACATTATAGAAACATTATTATATTACAAAAAAAAAAAAAAAAAAACATTATTATATTTTCCAAATATTGGAACAAAATTGCAGATTTAAAAAAAAAAATGTAAAGATTTTTAAAAATTAGGATCACACCATCATTTCCATTACTTCAAATTATATAGGTTTCAAAAATTAAAATGTTTAAGATCGCGTTGGAGCTGAATTATAATATTTTTCCGTAATTAATGTTATAACTAAGTGTATAAATAAAATAATAGTTTTGATCTGTAATATAATCAAAATATTTTATGTCTTATAAATGAAAATTCAATTTAATTTGGTTTATATCTAGTTAGATATTATATGTTCTGGTATTTATTTACTTTTTCAATATGTAACTTTTTTATAGAATGTCAATCATCATTTAGCAAGTAAATTGAATGCTTTTATAATACTACTTTTATGACAAAACTAAACATTTTTTTTTCTTGTAATATTCTACTATAATATATTTATTCATGAATAAATGAATAAAGATATACATATATAAATTCTCCAACTTATGAATCATGTATAATTTATTATTCCCATTTTAATATAATTTCCTGCAGTATTACGTTTCAAGTTATAATATTGTAATATTTATAATTGATTTGTATCTAAAACATCTAAAACAATGTAAACGTCAAAATATAAAATGATGTGTTTCAATATTTGATATTTATAATTTTTATTTTATTTTGTTGAGACACGAGAATGGTCTGGAATATTCACGGCTTATCGTTGTTGGATAAATCATATTTTGTAGATATATATTGACTATCGCGAATATTCTAGAACTTGTTTGCGATATCTATAAAGTTATAAATACGCAAGCTGCAGACCGCCACAGCATTAGTGTTGATTACGTTTTTGAAGCGTATATGGTGATCGCCTTTATTTTTATTTTTTTGTTTTCAATACCTGCACGTGGTTTTCCGTAAGTGACGTGCTAAATAAATAAACAATATAATTTTATATTATTTGTGTGAATTGTGTATTTATCTGAATTAATCAATTAATTTTGTGTGATGAAGTAAGGTGAAATATAAATTATGTTTTATACATTGACTTCTTAATTTATTTTTAATAAATTAATTTATAGGTGTTACAAACAAGAATAAATGACATTATGTGTAAGTTATGTTAAAAATCTAGATGTTATTGAGAGATTTCTCGGTTTTATAGATTGTTCTAAGAATCAAGATATTGAAAGTTTATATTATTACATATTATGGTACCTGAAAAAATGTAAACTTAATTCTAAACCACAACTAGTTGCTCAGTCATATGACGGTGCAAATGTTATGTCTGGGAAATTAACGCACTACAAAATAAAATAAAAAATCAATATCCTTACGCTATTTATCCCACTGTATGGCTCATAAAATGAACTTCATTGTAATTGATATGTATAAATATGTAAAGGTAATGAATATTTATATACATCTTAGATCTTCATGATTTTATTTATTACTTATATTAATATTAGGAAACAAGGCATGTGTTCAACACTTTAGAATCCCTGTACGTACATTTTTCTCATCCGTCAAAAAATCAAAAATTAACTGAGATTCAAACTAAACTAGGAATAAAATATACGACAATGATTAGACTTAGTGTCACTAGATGAAATTGCCGTTATCGAAATATAGTCTGTTAAAAACAGTTATAAAGCAATTATTCAAGCTTAATTAATATTAATATTGTTTCTAGCAAATTTAAAAAAAAAAATGCAACCTTAGGGGAATTTAAAAATATTATTGAAGGTGTGATGATGACTTTTTAAAATTCTAGTACAACAGAGTATTTTTCTAAGCTTTGATGTGAAATAGAAATATTTGCTAAAAACAATGAAATATCAATACAAAAGCCATCTAAAGGTAAGGCTTAATAAACATATTATATTTATTTATAATTTTAATAATTTTAAATTAATATTTACTTAACTAGGAAGCAAAAAAAAAAAAAAAGACAAGAGCCACATAATCTTAAACATTTTGATACTACTGCAACCATAAGTGCTGAATAAAATATTTATATTACCATTGAAACCATTGAAGATTAATTTAAAAAAAATGCTTTCTTTCCTGTATTTCATGCTATCTTGATAAATCTGGAAAAAAGATTTTCTACTGAAAGCCTCCAAATGGCTACAGCTGTTGATCAATTTTTTCAATTAAACTTTGAGGAATGTCTTTTTTTTGTAGATTATTATCTAAGTGTCGTATCAGTTTCTGAAAATTAATTTTTACTTACCTATGCTCTAGTTTTCTAGTTTTATTAAAAGTGAATCTGTATTTTGTATATTTTTCAGGATTTGATGAATGTATCTAAAGATGTATTACAGTCAGAAACAGAAGTGGCAAAGAATTGTATATTACATTCTACTGATGAAAATTATATAACTTTAAATTATGTGAAAAAGATTTTAACAAAACAGCCTTTCCCTAATTTATATAAACTATTTCAAGTTGCTTTAACAATTCCTATAAGTTCCTCCACTTGTAAAAGGAGTTTTTCGGCCATGCGTAGAATAAAAACTTGGCTTCGAACTTATATGCTGCAGGAAAGGTTCAACAATACCTCAATATTATATATTGAAATAGAAACTTCTAAATCTATTAATACTGAAACAATTGTTAATATATTTGCACAAAAAAATAGATGTATACAATAAAAATAAAAATAATTTAATAGCTATTCAATATTGTATTTTTTTATGTTCCTATTACTTATATATATATTTGGTGCCTTAGCTAGAATCAAGTAGGAGTAGCCACTACAGTTAGTAGGTGGAAGCGTCGGAAGTGACTAAAAATATTTGTTTCCGCTAATGAATAAGACAAAAATGTTAAGCCCCCCCTCCCCACAGATGAAACCACATATTCGCCTATGATTAAAAATGTACTTAGGATGAGACTATTTAATACTCTATATTTTAAATTTGTTAATAAATTAAATCTATGCATATTATAATATTGTTATCATTCATAATAATAATAATAATAATAATAATAATAATAATAATAATAATAAATAATGGTGTTAGTTTCTAATTATGAAAATTGTTAACTCTTGTTGACTTATATCCATTAATTAATGAATAATTCTTGGTTAAGTGTTAAGTATAATTACAAATAAATAATATTATAATATATTCGGCACTATAATAACACGCCATCAGTGAAATGAATACTGTTGTACTGGAGGACCGCACCATTTGGCGATGAACTCCAATGTCTGTTTTACAGCACTGGACTGGACGGTTTTCGATACGGTCATTACTTTGGTCCAATCGTCTTTGTTGGCCATTCTGCCATTCTCAAATGTCACTGAATAACTCTTTTTTGAATCAATCACTGGCCATCCAGAGATGATGCATACGGGGTACATACCGCCATCCGGAGAGGTCAGGTTTGACGGGTATAAACTTCTTTGGTCTAACGGCAAGCTCTGTAAATCAGTGAAAATTCATAATATTAGGAACCTACAAAGGAATATCTATATATCATTAATCTATTCAGTAAATTTAAGGAGCAGGAGATGGTAAAGCATAAGTTATGTTTCTTTTAATAGTAGTTTGTTGAATATTTCTGTATAGACTAAAATTATAATGTAATTTATTTTTATTTTTTTTAAATTATTAAAATTATTAAAATACTCATACATTTATACCAATGTATTATAGCTTAAAATCTCTGTAGAATATTGAAAATTGCTGATGTTATTATTACGTCGACTATTCATAAATAGTTTGACAATCAAAACATACTGATACTTGATGATGAACTATGTAATAAGTAAAGACCGGATTTATATTCTCTAAAAAACCTTCAAATATTCTTATTATATTCTCTTAAAAATCTTAAAAATATGTAAAAATATTCGAAATTATTCAAAAATAAATTTTTAAAAATTTTTTTTTTGTTTACAACATTCTTTTAATCATGAGGTATATACGTAGTCGCGTATTATAATAGAATACTATTGTACTTCAGTAAGAGTAGGAATATAGTAAAAATATTACAGTATAGTCTATAGCAGGGGTCGCCAACGTTTGTCAAACAAGTGAGCTATATTTGACATTTAAGTCCCCAGTGATTGACATCCAGGAAAATTTAGGTCTTTAATCTTTAAATCTAATATTCCCATTATCCAATTAATCTGATTATTTTACGCAATCGACCGATAATGGTAAAATTAAATTTTACAATGATCGACTGATTGGCGATCCCTGGTCTACAGTATTAAAATTTAAAAACAATATTCCTTTGGTATATTTTAATTAAATGTTGTATTAACACAATTGTCATACTATTAAAAATAACAAATAATCATATATATATATATATATATATATATATTAAAATATAATGAAACAAAAAAAAAAAAATTTTAACAAACGGTAATCCTTAAATAATAATAATTTAATACAAGATATAAAATAACAATATATATATATATATTATATGTATAAAAAAATCAATATTTCTTTGGTGCATACAATGGTAAATATTTACTTTCTGAAGAATAAACAGAATCTTGAAATACTTTTTAAATTTTATTATATAAATTAACAATAATATATTTTACATATTATCTGTACTCATGTTAGTTCTTCTATAGCTTAAAATTTGTTTATAGAGGCTAAATAAACGTTCAACATCAACAGATATTAGAGGTGCAAACTTTATGTCAACAACTACATTAGGTGTAAAATATTCTGGGACATCTTCATTTTTTCCATATAAAATATTCCCAACTTTTGCTAACATTTGGTAACCTTTATTTTTTTAACTTAATTGAGACACTTTAGTATTTTTATTATGTAACCCGTTTCACCAGGTATATTGGTTAGTTTGCAGATAATAGCTTGTACTATGAAAAAAAAATCAAATATTCTAAGATATGCTAAATGGGCTAAATATTCTCTAACCTAATTATATAACCTATGATATATTCTCAAATATGCAAAAAAAACTTTTTTCTACAAACTAAGAATTGAATGAATCGTCCACATTTTTTACTCTCATCTAACTGCATAGACCAAGTAACGGTATGTAAAAACATATAAATCCGGTCTTTAGTAATAAGTCAGATAACAAAAAAAAAAAAAAAAAAATTGATTTTGCCTTATTAATATTTCCACTAATATTTCAGTGGTATAATTGTGATTAAAATAATATACTGTGTTTTTCATTGAAATTTATTTGAAGGGATTAGGAATTATTAATTTCAGTATTTATTAAAAATTTAAACATTTAATTTAAAATTTAATTATTTGATTAATTATTTAATTTAATTATTTCGGAAATAATTTTTATTTTCAAAACAGTTATAAAAAATTAATAAATCAAAAATATTTCTTTGGTACTGGAAGATCGAGATCGCTTAAGAAGATCGCTTAGACCGCGTAATGGATCAACATTTGATTATATTTTAAAAAACTGAATTCCCCCTATGCATAATTGAATTTATATCTTTATTGTTCATACTTGCATTGTTGTGAAACTTCGATAAATATTAATATATTTGATTTGTACTACCCCCCATATAAAGTATACGTAATTACATTCACTGAATTGAAGAACGAACCTCATTTTTGTCGAATTAGAAAAGTCCGCATTAAAAACAATTTGTAGATTATTACGTTTGAAAAATTGAAGATGCACAAAGATAACTCTGGAATTTAATAATTGGTCCGTAAATAATGCGATACGTGGTTCTCTCGTGTCCGCGAATTAAAAACAAAAACTATAATACGTTATTTTACGTTGCCGAAAGTACCTATTGTCTCTAATGGTATACGAGTATAGCTTTAGTACTATATGATTATTATGGCAGTAATTTTGAAATAATGAAAAAGTAAGTATTTACGGGGCCATGCTATCACTGGAAAGAGGATTAGGACAGTTTTATTTATTGCATGGGTATATCGAAACCGTATAGTGCTAATCATCCGGTTCGCATTGGCGGACGGTATAGGGAATATTATATTGTGTTAGTGCGATGGCTAAAAGGAAGATTCTGGTTGACTTTGGGAGAACCGAAAGCACTACTCTCCAGTTTATTTTACTCATTTTACTCGTTAGATACGATTGTCACGTAGTGCCACGGACTTAATGGTTAACTTTCATTTATGTTGCTCCTATAATATACTTTCACGTGTCAAGTTACTATGTTTATACTGAGTTTAGAAAAGTTAATACGCTATACTGTTACACGTTCTGTGCCTCATAGGCGGAATATAAACGACCGACAAAAAATGACCGTTATCCACACGTGTGGTATAGCCCGTTGATGAACATTAAGTTTCAGCACGCTGTAGCAGTCCACAGTTGATAATAATACAAATAGTAATAATAATAATAATAATAATAATAATAATAATAATAATAACAACAATAATAGTAACAATAATAATAAATATAATAATAATAATAGTGCTAATGATAATAGTAATAAAAGTAATGACCGGCTAGGAGATTAAACTTTTATAAGCGTCGTATTGTATATTATCTTTTTTCGTCGGTAAAATACATTAGATCTAGAGTAATGTAAGTTTTCCCAGTGAAAATAATATTTAACAACGCCTGCAGTGTTCCAAGTTTTGGTATATTTTTATAAGAAACGGAATCCATGTAATTTATCGAATTGGAATACACACGTATAATAAGTTACATTTTTGATCGTTTTAAAGGTAGCGATTTTATTACATTTGTATCGAAACACGGGGACACGTATAGTTTCCGTATTAGCCTGGCGTATTCATAATAGATACGCTTGGGGCCTACTCACCCAAATTAATTGAAATGAAAATTCGAAATCACCAGTCATAATAAACGAACCGGTGTTGAGCCAAAAAAAAAAAAAAATCAAATTGATGCGATTATTTATGATGTTTATTATTTTATTTTTCTAAACATTTTTATGATTTGTTAATATTTTCATTAAAATTGTTTTGTCTAAAATAAAATTATGCTTAAAAATATCAGGGTCAAAAGAAAACTGTAGAAAAAATTATTCAAATTTTTTATACAGGTTTATTCCGAGTAATCACAATAATCCACTATTTTCAGTTCTTGTTTAGTGAAACAAGAAGAACGCTTTTTGTTATTAGCTTGTATTATTTCGTATGTATGCATTGAATAAGTATTTATATGAAAAATTATACTTTTTTTGTGTGTTCAAGCATAAAAACAAAAAAGTATTTTTTTCGGGTGGTGGATAATTGAATGCACAATAAAGAATCACTAATGAAATAAACATTGAATTAAAATTTTTATGCGTTTTTCAATGACATACTTATACCATTGATTATAAATACTAGTATTTATAATCAATGCTTATACGAATGATTTGACATTTATTATTAAATAAGCACCTTACCATATAATTGTTTTTCGATTATTATTACCCCTGCGCTGGATTGTTATATATTGATTCTCACTATGTTAATTGTCACAATTTGCATTTACATATTAATACTTTTCATTTTTCTCATTAATTTTTATAATATTAAAAAATAAGAATAAGAAAAAAAATAAAAAAAATAATGTGAAATTTGGTTTACAAAATGTTTATATTTATTATTATTAAATCGGAAATTTAGCGTTTTATGGCTTGAAAATATTTTGTATTACCTATAATACTAAAAAGTTAGAATATTTTTCTCTATTAAAATGCTTTTTTTTTTATTAATGTTCAAAGTTTGAATAATAGCATAACTGATATAACTGCCATAAATAAGAACGATTTACTTATAAGTTTTTGTTGTAAATGGTTTGTAGTACTAAAATTTTCATTTTTTTAGTATTAACTAGACTTTTAATATCAATACAAATATATGCATACAATTTGTTTATTAAGGAATACGATACTGAAGGATATAATATAATTATTTATTGTTTCATATTTTTTATTATAAATCAATTTCATCCGATTAAAGGTATAGCTCTGCAAACGTGTTTTGAATACTTCAGTAGTATAATTTTAATGTAATATTTTTTTAATATTACTTTTCTTTTTTATTTACTATTTAATAACTTTGTTGCTCATTATAATATCCATGAGAAATGTCACACAATCGCACTAAAAATCATACAATATACCATAGTTAGTATGCTTGTTGTTTTTATTGCATTTTAAAGTTTAAAAAAATATTAAAATTTAGTTGTAGTTTAAATGCCGATGATAAGGTTTTTTTGGTAATCGGTTACCGGTTAAAACCGATTTTTAAAAATCATATTTTTCAATTTTTTAATCATATTTTTAAAATAGTTTATTTAGGCGATAATATATTTGGGTTGATAATATAACTTTTATTATTACAAAATCAAAAACTTAATATGCTTTAATTTGGTCAATTTCACTCAATTTCAATATTTATTTTTTCAAATTAATTTAAAGTTTAAAACATATTATGATCAAGATAATGATAATCAAAAAACTAA